TTAAATAATATGTAAAATATTTAAAAAATTTCATTATTTGAATTTTATTTATTTTAATGTTATTACGTAATATTAAATATTTTGTTATATTATTTAGCTATTTTTAATGTTTTTTATTTAAGACTTTTAGTTATTGAAGTATTTAAATAATGTTAAATTCTTATTATTTGAATAACATTTAAATTGAATTATTCATAAAATTATAATTTTTATTGTTATTACATAATTTCATGATGATTTTTTTAAAAATATTGAATTATTAATAATATGAATATTATTAAATCTATTAATTTTTTGTGTTTTGAATAAATATTTTAAATTTAGTATATAATTTCGTTATAACATTTAAATAGTTCTGAATTTTTTTAATTGAAACTTTCTTTAGATATATATAGATAAGAAGTGTGGGAGAAGATAAATAGGAATTAGATATAGTTTAGGAGAGAATCTCTCTATTAAATTAGAGATAATTTAAGAGATAAATAGGAGTTAGAGATAATTTAGGAGATAAACCCACTTGCGCACAATATGGGTTTGATGGACCCATGTGATGCATGGGTATAATAATAATAATAACAAAAATAATAATGATTAAAACAATAACAACAATAATAATAATAGCAAAAATAATAATGATTAATATTTAATTATATATATTAAAACTGGTCCTGCCATGTCAGCATAGCTCTCATAGTAGGAAAGCCCCCTTCCTAATTTTCTGTTTTTTTGAATATTTTATTTTTTAGTTCCACATAGTTACCCATTAAACCAATAAGGAAATCACATATAACTAACTATTTCTAACAACCATAAAGTTTTTCTAATGTTTAGCCAAGTGGCACCACTTTTCCCCACTTCCTCCTAAATTGTCTCTAATGACAATCTGAATTCGGGTCGTTGTAGACCCATTTTAATTGTCTTCTTCACCCGAACAATCAAAATGAGTCATGTGTCAACCCGATTACTTTATAGTGGGTAGAACCAAAGCGTTTCGAAGTTGGAGGAGCTGCTAAAACCTCTGCTAAGCCCAAAGAGAAAATGGTGCCTGAGAGAAAAAAAAACCGTCTCTGTGTCTAAAATAATAATAAAAAAAAACTGTTAAATACCTGAGATGGTTTTGTTGTGAGCAAGAGTGGTTATGACTATGAGGAAGAAATCTGTTCTATAAGAGAAGATTGAGAAGGAGTGAGAGGATTGTGTGAGGTTCTGAGAGGTTCTACAAGAGAAGAATGAGTTGATGGGTTTTGATTTAAGAGTTGCTGAGACGTATGGTCTTGAGAGGTTTTGAGACGTTTGGTCTCCCAATGCTCATTTAATTTTTTGATAAAAATGGAAAAATCTCAAAAAATGAGAACGCAGCAAAGTGCGTCTCAAACTCACTAGAATGCCACAATGTGCCAGGTCAGCACATCCCAATATATATATATATATATTAAAACACAATGATCTGATGTGACCCTATTCTTTTTATTCCTTTTTGAAATGCACCATAATCTCTTAAGGTGTTCGGTTGGCTTTGGTATGGACCCATCCACACTATCTCGTGGATCGTCTACAGTTTTTTTTCCTGGATTGATTCACGTTAGTGTAGAGTTTTTTACCAAGAATGATCCTATGCTTTTGCATGGTATGTTTTACCCAATTTATCCCACATTTTTTATTATGTAAATTATTAAAAAATAAAATATTACTTCTTTATTGTTATATAATATCTAAGGTTACGTGCATTTTTAATTCAATGTGTATATTTTAGTACTTTTTAATTAAATATGTGTATATTTTCTTAATTATTATTTTTATATAAAATTAGTACTCATGGCAACCTAGTAATTTTTTATTTTTATAAAATAAAAAAATTGCTTTTTAATTATTAACAACATAGATCACCATACTTGTTCTTAGGCCTATCACCGATACTCGAAAATTCGAGGCCAATCCAACATTCAATCCAATTATCTCGAATTTGAATGATGTATTTATGTAATCAGATTGGATTCGGATTTGACCCCATCTAAATTTGATTATATTATAATATTTATTAATTTTAATATATAAATTTTATATAATTATATTTAGAATTGTAAAATATATTCTATATATTATATTATATATGAAAAATAATTAAATTTTAAAATTTTCTAGTATTTTGAGAAAATTTGAGTAGAGTCAAGTTAAATCCGGATCTGGTCTGAGTCCGTTAGGACTCAGATTCTAATCCAAGTTTTTAAATCCAATTGGATTTGAATGCAAGTTTTTGGGGTGTTGACTGAAATACACTACACCTTGTAGAACATCTATGGGGTATAGTATGGTTCAATTCACACTTCTTTGTCCGTAGTTCAAAACAACTACTCTGTGGAGATGTGGTGCACTCTCATTCACACCACATATGAATAAACCGGAGAAGTACGGATATGCTTAATGCAGAATTCTGAATTCTGCTACAATTCTATAAACATTTAAAATTTAAAAGTTCAAAAATCCACACGCTATGCACTTGTACCCATCCATGAATTGACATCAACTCCGAACTGACACCTACCCCAACTGTAATTTGTGTCTAATTCATGAATTCTGACCCTGGGCTGGATGGTCATTACACCCTGTAATTTCTCATCTACGTTACAACTTAGGAAACACCCTTTTAAAGTCTCAGGGTGTCTTGGAGCTAATCCGAGTCCAGTTAGGCCTAAATTCTGTTATTAGTTATTTCTATGTAAATCCCGGCACGGTCCGGCCCAAGATCATTGCTATTTCCCGCCATCACATCTGTACAAATAAAATGCCAAACGGTTTCTTTTATATATACCATGATGCCAATCCATCTATTCCTAGCTCGCAGTCGCTTCAGTTTCTTTGCGGGAAAATCAACTCCGTCTGTCTCATCTCGTCTCCCTGCTTCTCTTCTCCTCTTGACGGAGGAGAGAGAAAGAAAAAATAGAGGAGACAAAGCTAATCGCCATCTCTGAAAAACCTACTTGCTTTTTCTTGTGAATTCGATGGCAGAGACCTTCAAAGACTACTCACACATCGAAATCAAGTCTCAAGAACCAGCGGCCGATGAATCCCTGCAAGAGCAGAAGATTCGATTTTTTGGTTCCCGCTCCCGGGGGAAGGAGAACACCTGGGTCATTTCCTTCTTTGTGGTGCTCCATGTAGTTGCCTTCGCTGCGACCATGTTCATCAACAATTGCTCGACGAATTCACATGGCGACTGTGCTCTGAGAACCCTCGGCAGGCTTTCTTTCCAACCTCTTAAAGAAAATCCATTCCTTGGACCTTCTTCCTCAACGTCAGTCATTTATTCTTGCATTCCTATTCGAGTTTTCTTATTTCTGTTCTGGAATGGTTGCAGAAATCTTTGTGGTTTCAATTTTGTTTTGATGAAATGCATTTAGTTTTCTTGCAAATCTTGTTCTTTATTGACCGCAATTTAGGTTTCTTAAAAGAAGGGCTTCACTTTTGCATTTGCTTGCCGTTTCTCAACTGGAACAAGATCTTTCTAGTGATCAATCTAATTCAATTTTTTTGTAGGCTTCTTTTCATTTTCCTGTTGTAAGATTCTTTGAACCAGCGGGAATCTAGTGTTCCGCTGACACTTTAGAAGGGATTCTGTTGCAAACCAATGATTGAGTTGAATTTACGAGATCAATGGTCTTTATGTCTTCAGATTGCACTTCTCTTTCGGTTCTTTCTCGTAAACTTATATTTTTCTAATATTTCGTCAGAGGTTTTGTATATAACAGAACAATCATGGTGATCCTGGTTTCTTTGATCAGGTGTTGGGCTTTCCTGAAGCTTGTAATAGCATGCTCGATAAGCTGGACTAGTAGAAGAGAAAAATATTACTTATCGATGACAAAAGGAAAATAATCTGCCGCCTATTACAGGCACTGTCATTTTTTAGTTTTCTAATTGAAAGATGAGGTTAAAGTCCTCCCATTTTTCATGTGGATGATCAGAAAATTAGCTGTAGCAGTTTGCTTATTTCAGAAAGCTAACTATAATCTGCTTGAACTGCCATGAACATAAGATTTTGAGTTCTGGAGACTTGTCAGTAGCTTCAACTAGAAATGCTATACCCATAGAGTTTTAGGCTTGATAGCTTGAAGACAAAATTCTAACGCTTTTTTCTTTATCATGGAGTATTGAACTTTGGCTGTTGTGATCTTTGCTCTTTATGGTCAAGTCATTAATGGGGGCATATCTAGTAAATCTATTTGTTACCTGCGGAATAATTGCATTTTAGTCATCAAGTAATTCAGTTGATTCCCAAGGAGGAACAGGCTGTTGAAATCATAAGTGTTGCGGAAAAGGAATTTGAAGTAATTTACTAGGTATTTTCTTCCTAGGGGAGGAGAGCATGCCAGGAAGGTGTTTGAAGAATTGGAAAGGAAAGAATGGAAAGAAAAAGAAGAACAGGAAGGTGTAACTCGAGGAAATGAGATAGGAGAAAATTTGGAAAGACAGCGGGGAGGAGTTGGGTCAACAAGAGAGGGTAATGGAAACTGGTTTTATTGAAGAGAGCAGTTTAGGCCACAATGGAGAAAGAAAGAAAGAGAGGTATCAGAGGGAGGGGATAGTGAAAAAATGGTCATCAAATTACAAAGGGGTGCTATAATTGACAGATCTGAGGATAAAGACTAGAGGGGAGTTGAGAATTTTTATAATGCAATCAGACGCTTTAAAAGAAAAACAAAATCAAAGAGCTATCAAGTTTTTCAAGTCTTTGTTTAAGATGTCTTCCAAAGTTGCAAGTAGTCTGGTAAATAATCCAAAGAGATTTTCTCTGGAGAGGGTGGATAACAAGGAAATCCACCTCCTTGATTTGGTAAAGATATGCTCCGCCAAACAAAAGTAGACAGTTGATTGCAAGAAAATACATCCTCTCTAATAGAGGATGGGATACTATTCAAGCTACCCATGCTACCACCACTGCACTTTAGAAAGTCTTTCAGAAAGCTCAAGCTCAATTCCTAGATTGCATTGTCAGCAAGCTGGGCAATAGCTTTCATCTAAGATTTTGGTTGGACTCTTGGTGTGGAGATAGGCCCCTGGCTGAAATCTACCCTGGCCTATTTAATGCAGCCACAAACAAAGAGGTAACAGTTGCTAAGATCTCTAATTAAGGAGCTTCTGGCCATTGGTCCCCTACTTTTTAGAAGAAACCTATTTGACCGGGAGATTGAAAATCTAGATCTGCTCCTCTATCTGCAGCAATTTCAGCCTGTCAACTGTGACGAGGACAGAAGAATTTGGAAGTGGTATAGGAGGTTAACCTACTCGGTTAAATTTATGATGCAGCACCTCAGTTTGAACAGACCCACCTTCCCTCATAAGTTAGTTTGGGCATGGAAAGTGCCATCAAAAGTAGCATTCGTAGTTTGGACTGCAGCACATGGCAAATGCCTCACCAAAGACAAGCTATGTAAGTGAGGTGTTCCCATCAACTGCCCATCTGTATTTATGCAATGCTTCTCAGGAGACTGCAAATCATCTTTTTCTGCATTGCCCAGTCAGCAGAATTATTTGGAACCATCTGTTGTGTTGGCTAACCTGCACCTATGTTGGGTCTTTCCAAATATGGTCTTCAACTTCCTAGACAGCTGGAGAGTTGAAGGCCTCTTAGTTAATGGTAAAATTATCTGGAATATGATACCCGTAACAGAATTTTGGACAGTTTGGATGGAGAAGAACAGCAAAATTTTGAAGGCAAATCCTCTCATACAGATGAAATTATACGCAACATGTTAGCAAAAATTTTCTCGTGATAAGGCACACAATATCTCAACTGATGTCCTCTTTTCTAAATGTCTCTCTTAAAGTTCTCTTGGGAATGTTTCACCCCCATGTACAGTCATCCATATTCACATCTAATACAATACCTTTTCTCAAAAAAAAGTTTCTTAAGTCTTGTTTGAAAGGGGGAATATTCAGGATTAGTCCTTATAAGAAGTTGAAGAAGGTTAAGCAGATTAATACAAGGAAAATAGTGAATGGTACTTGGAGTCTAGTTCTCATACTAGGGGCCTTGGTTATATATGAGTTGGGGATGGGTTACTGATTTTGGAAAGAGTATGTGGTTTGTTTTTGATTGGTACTAGTTTGGTGTATTCTTGCATCCTAGAGTGACAGCATGGGCTTTGGTTTCTTTTAACCTTCTCTTGTCATTTTCTAATATTTAATAAAATTTATTTCACTATAAAGGTTGAGGGTGGGTCTTTGCGCAATGGTTGGGTTGTTCCATTGTGACCTGGGTGATTGGGGTCTAAATCTTGGAAAGTCTCTCTGTATGTGCACAGGGGTAAGGCTGCATACATCTGTCCCTCCCCAGACCCCACACTGGAAGGAGCCTCGTGCACTGTCTACCCTTTTACTATAAAAGGTTGGAGTTGTGTAAACCAATATGCCTTTACTTTCACCTATTTTCTTCTGTACATAAAACATTTTACTCAATATACAATTTCCTATATGTTTTAAGCTTTTAAACTCTGTTTCCCATTGGTTTCATATGTTGTGGTTCCAAAATTTTGTCAGCTCTAAGGTTTTGGTTTCTTTCCTTTTGCAGGATGTATGAAATGGGGGCTCTTCGGCGAACATTTGTGATTCAACAGCACCAAATATGGCGCCTTGTGACATGCTTATGGCTGCATGCAGGATTCATCCATCTTATCATTAACCTGTCATGTGTTATTTTGATAGGCATTCGCTTAGAGCAAATGTTTGGCCCATGTGAGTTTAAAAGAAGAATAAATTTAGTAGGCTTACAGTTGTTTCAACTAATGGTCAAAAAGAAGAATAAATTTAGTAGGCTTACAGTTGTTTCAACTAATGGACAAAATTCTATTTGCTTCTGCTTGTCAGTTAGGATTGGGATAATCTACATGCTATCTGCTTTCCTTGGTGGTTTGGTATCAGCACTTTTTGTCCAGAATGGCCCAGCCATTGGCTCTTCAGGTGCTCTGTTTGGATTGCTTGGTGCTATGCTTTCTGGGCTTATCATGAACTGGAAAATTTACATTGATAAGGTCCTCTTTTCTCTTGGATATATCATTTCTTTACATGAATAAGATCCTATTTGCTCTTGTTTTTATGTTTACCTTTTTATGTGTCTGTTTAACTGTCTTTTGCGCTTTTAACACAGTTTGCAGTATTGTTGTCACTTTTTCTCGTTGCAACCATCAATTTTTCTCTTGGTCTGTTACCTTATGTGGACAATTTTTCAAATATTGGAGGCTTCCAAGCGGGATTTCTTCTTGGTTTTGTGCTCCTATTCAATCCTCAGCTAAGACAAATGGCTCAAAATAAAAAAGGTCTATTTGAATATGATGTAAAAAATTCTGTGAAGCTCAAGCACAAGCTGGACAAGCCAGCGATCAGATGTATTTCATTAGTTCTGTTTGTTCTTATGTGAGTTTGTTGCAAGAACTAATCTGCTAATCTCCTAATCATTCTTTATTTGGCAAAGGAATTAATATCTTAGAGCTCTAATTAGTTTTCTTTGTTCCTTGCAGTTTCACAGGATGTCTTGTAGCAGTTCTTCATGGTGTCAATGCAAACAAATACTGCAGTTGGTGTCACTATGTTAATTGTGTCCCCTTCAAAGGGTGGATCTGCAATGAGGAAGCAATGCAATGCGAGGTATAGGTTATTCTGTTTGATGATAACTTTTATCAACTCCAACCCCAAAACAGTCATTTTTATTAGAGGAACTAATTTTAATATTTTGTAGCAACAAAACAAAAATAATAAAAATAAAACTAGTGACTAATGAGATTTTAGCTATACCTACTGGTGGATCTATCCTACTTCTAGAAAAGGAGTCATTAGTCATTACTGCAATGACGTAGGTACCAATGTGGATGATATAAAGCATGAAATCAATAATACAAGGATTTTCTTTGCAGGTCTCTCTCTTGTAGGGGGGTTTAGATCCGAAAGGCCTACAAGTAGGGGTGCCATTTGGACTGGATTTGATCCAATCTGATCCAGTCCAATGTGAGTCCATTACAAATGGACCAGGTCCAATGCAATCCAATGAATATTTTGGACCATTTTGGACCGGTCTAATTCAATGTCTGCACCGTCCAATCCACTCAAATTTGCTTTAATGTATAGATCGACTCTAACCCAAAACCTGGTCCATTGACACTTATCTTCTATTAATGGGCCAGATATTGGCTCAATTCAACCCAATCCAATATAAATTCATTATAGATGGAGCAGGTCCAATCCAATCCAAAAAATACGTTGGACCATTAAGTCTGGACCGGTCCAATTCAATAGGTCTTGTTGGTCCATCCAATCCATCCAAATTGATTTTGGTCTGGACAGGGTCCAATCCAAAACCAGTCTATTAATGCCCCTACCTAAAAGTTCCAACCAAAATAGGAGTTGCTTCTACTTGTTAATCCAAAGTAGAGATTGATGGGGGTCTGAATACCCTATAAGTGAACCAAACCTACTTCTGGAAAAGAATTTGTCATTACTTCAATAATATCAGGTAGCAGCATTGATGATAATAAAATCTGAACTCAGTAAACTTAAGGAATTTCTTCTAGTGATGTATAATTGCTTCTGGTAGTCTCATCTAGAAAAGGATTTAGCTGTACTATTCTTTCTACTCATGTATACTTGAGGAAAATGCCTGAATTGTGTCTCAGGTTTGTATACAGGAATCATGCAAGGTACCTTGAGTGATGTTAGATATCAAAAAATAAGAGACTTATTGTTTTAACTTATATGACATCATTGTTCATTTATGCATGCAGGTGCTAGTAAATGGGGGGCGATTAACACTAACCTGCGAAAGCAATGGCAACTTCCACATTTACCCTTTCACTAACATCTCGCAAGCAAGGATTGAAGACTTGTGCAGTCTGATATGTTCCTAGGCTTGTACACTTGATGGTGATATCATTTGGATACAGGAAGTAATACAGGCTGAAATTCATACATCTATTGACAACTCAAAAGCAAGTATGAGGACTTGTGCAATTTGATATTGTCCTTTGATTGTATGCTTGGTGAAGCATTGTTTTTGATAAAGCAAACTGTTTAGATTGAACACGTTTACACACATCCTGCAAGCAGGAATTAGGGTTTTTTTTTTTTTGGAGGCTATAACTTTGTACTTAAATGTTCTTTTGGGTCTTTCTTTTTTTTTTTTCGATTTTGGGTAATTTTTTGAGATCAGTGTTACCCTATTATTTTTTTCTTTTTTTTGGAAACTCAGGAGAGCTGCGTCCCAAATGGTGTTCTGTTACTAGCAGGGCCCATCGATATTATTCTTTATTCAGCTAGTTGTAGATACCTCTTAAAATAAGCTTCGGAATTCATAAACGTAGGCGCCCGTGGCCTAATGGATAAGGCGTCTGACTTCTAATCAGGCGATTGTGGGTTCGAGTCCCACCGGGCGTGCTTTACAAAAATATTTATTTTCTATCTCTTCGAATATTTAACCGAACTATGGTTTGAATGAATTTGAACTCAAACCTAGTATTGTTTTTATTGAAATGAGCCACGACATGTCGAAGTTTGGTTCGACTTGGCTCGATTACACCCCTACTCTTTTAACCAGACATTTCTAGAGCCTTGAAAATGCCAGAAAATTTTTGTTTGTTGGTGAAGACATCTAAAACTTTGCCGTGTCCCATCCCAAATGACTCCAGAATAATCTCCCTATTTGATTCTTTTTTATTACATGAACAACCTCTGGTTAATGGTTGAATTTGGTGAAGATGAGAGCCCTTGTGTAGATTTCTACATTCTAGGCTTTATGTTTAGTGAGTTGTTAAGAATGCTTCTCTAAGAAGGGCCATTTTTTAGTGGCTTGAGTTACTGGGAAGGTTTGAATCCAAGCGTAAAGTAGAAAACTAATAAATTATTTCTCTTCCTTCTTCCCTCTTGAACTTGAACTTGAAGGTGATGTTTACAATTGCTTATAATTGCTTGCACTTCTCAAATTATTTTGTGTAAGATTTTGAGAAAGAGCTCTAAAGTGTGTAGGTGTGGTTATCAGAAGGATAGCTTCTTCTCCCTAAGGTTTGCTATTTATAGTCCATGTAAATGGGGTTTGCCAAAAGACCCACATGTTAGCTATTGGAAGGGATACAAACGATTAGATGATGCCAATAACATGGATAGTTGTGAGAAGTGAGAGAACTAACAATTTGCAATGGTTTTGTGCTTACCTGATAAATGATCTTGGTATCACAAAGGCAACCAATGCTAATTATTAATTTATATCTAACCAACAAAAGGTATGTAACTAACCTCTGTACTATATAGTTACATACATGTTGGATGAATAAGTCTAACTTTATGTTACGACTATGGATTTTTTAGGGACTAGTGAAGGCATTTGCAGATCTACTACCTCATGTAAATTATAATAAGTGTACATGGCATGTCTTCGTAAAGTAGAGGAAATATAAGTGTAGGGAGTTGCAGAGACAATTTTGGATGTGTGCTAAGGTCACCACACTTGTTGACTTTCAGGTTGAGGTGGAGAAGTTAAGGTTGAAGCCTAGTGCTTAAGAAGATTTGTTGAAGATAGGTCCTATGGGTTAGTCAAAGGCATATTTTCAAACATCATTAGTGTGACCATGTTGACAGCAACATGTTTGAGACATTCAATTCAGGCATCATTAAGTTCAAACATAAGGCAACTATTTTAATGTTGGAGGATCTTAGTGCGAAGATAATGTCAAGGATAGTGAAGAGAAAAAAACTTTTCTTCCAAGTTCAAATAAGGGTTTGGGACCAAGATATGGGAAATGATAGAGGAATATAAGGGAGAGAGTGCCTAGACTAGATTGGTTTGGAATGGGGAGTCAAGATATGAGGTCCAAGCAGGTGTGTATAAAAAAGTTGTTGACATGGTAAAGCAGACCTACACCTGCAAGAGGTTGGACTTGACTAGCATACCCTGTCCTCATGCCATATGTGGCATTTGATATAGAAAGGAAAAAATAGAAAATTATGTGGTTCATTGGTATAGTAAGAAAGCTTTCATGAAGATATACCGGTATGTCATGTAGCTAGTAACTGGGATGAAGTTTTGGCCCAAGTTCACTATTGAAGCACTTGAACCACAAACACCTATAAAGAAGAGGGAAGGCCTATGAAAAAAAAGGATTCCATAGTGTAAAGAGACAAGGCCGAATGGGCCCTAACAGCCTCTTGTGTGATATCTTTTATTTTTTATCTTTTATTTTATGTTGATGGGCCTCACTTAATGGGCCTATTATTTGTTCTTGTTTTATTCTCTTTATGTAATTTCCAAGCTGGCCGCCCACTTAAGGGCATACTTGTCATCATTAATTTTTTAGAGATAAATAAAATAGGGTTAGAGGAGAAGGAAGAATAATTCGACTTCTTCTTCTCTTACCTCTTCTCTTCGACATACACAACTCTTGCACTATTCAGATCTGATTTGTTCTGTTAATCACTAATTTTAAACCTGATATTAGAGGACTGATTTACATCTTGGTATCAGAGCGGGTACAGTTCTTCTTTCTTCCTTTTCTTCGTTCCTGTACACTCTAAAATCAAGAGAGTGTATGCAGAGATAGGTTCTCTGTAGTGTAGCGAATCACTTGCCTGGTTGGTAGAAGGGTTTGGAGATTTAAGTCCTGGCCGAATTTTGCCAAGAAGTGATGTTGTTTTGCTGTTGCCCGAAACCCTAGCCAACTAGAGATTTTCGAGGTTACCAGGAAAGATAAAGCTTGGGTGTGGCGCTCTATGCTTGGAAGGTGTCTTGTGACTTCTAAAGGAGGGTGGTTCAGGTTAGGAAGAGTTTGGGTCAGTCTGGTTGGTGCGGCACCATCTTCTCTCTTCCTCCCATTTGTTAGATGGAGCAAAACCCTAGTTTTCAACCACCCTGGTTCTGGTTTGACTTCAAGTAAATTTGCATAGTTAAAATTTCAGTTCTTTGATTTTTGTTTGATTAATGGAGACATACGAAAGTGAGTTAAAGCAGGTGCCGGTTTCTGGACCTGCTCCAGTAGATTATGTTTTGACTAGTGTTACCACGATTAAGCTAGATGGAACGAACTATCTTGCCTGGGCACAATCTATAAAAATTTATGTTTGTAGTAGAGGAAAACTCGGATATCTCATAGGTAGTAAAGTGAAACCCGAAGAGACAGATCCTGAATTTGAGAGATGGATGCAAGAGAACTATACCGTTATAGGATGGTTAGTTAACTATATGCAACATCATATAAGCCAACACTATCTCTTGATGTCTTATGCTAAGGAGATATGGGTCAGTGTAGCTGAGACTTATTCACAGAAACTGAATGTAGCCCGAGCGTACAAATTGAAAAGTGAAGTGAAAAACCTGAGACAGGGGGAGAAGAGTGTAGCAATCTACTACTCTATACTAAAATACCTATGGCAAGAAATTGATGCTATGGAAATTGTGGTATGGGAGAGTAAAAAGGATGCTGAAATATAGAGAAAGCTAGTAGAGAGAAATAGGGTGTTCGAGTTTCTCACTGGACTCAACCCTGAGTTTGATATTATCAGACAGAATATTTTGGCCAGAGAYGARGTTACTCTATCAYAGGCATATGCCATGATAAGTAGTGAGGAAAGTAGACGACAAGTTCAGTTGTAGAGTCCACCTACTGAAATGAAATCTAAGGGACCTACTGAAAAAAAGGAGCAGGTGTGTGAATATTGCAAGAAACCATGGCATACCAAGGACACCTGCTAGAAACTTCACCCTGGACTACTCCCTAAGAGGTTTAAGAATAACCCTAAGAAGGGCAGTCAACTGGGAAAACTCAAAACTGCTAATGCTGCTACAGTACCTGAAGGGGGAAGTAAGGAGAGTGAGGAAAAATCAACCATTGAGCAGTTAGCTGCAATGAAGTTAGTTTTTGAGAAGTATGGGAGGCTCCTGAATCACCTGGAAGCTACAGTTTCTTCAGCCCACCCTTCCAACAATGCATCCTCTTCATCATCTTTTGCTCACTTAAGTACATATGCCTCAGCAAATCATGCTTCTGTTTCAGGTAATCATAAAATCTCTTGGATTATAGATTCCGGTGCATCAGACCATATGACCATCCTATCTAACATTTTTTGTTCATATCATCTCCTCTCTGGGAAAGAGAAAATATCCCTTGCCRATGGRTCACTTKYCCCCATYTCTGGTAAAGGAGATATAAAGACCTCTGACACCCTGTTCTTATCTTCTGTTCTCCATGTTCCTAAGCTTAACACAAACCTTTTATCTGTTAGTAGCTTAACAAAGTCTATGAACTGCAACATAAGCTTCTTTCCCACTCATTTTGTTTTTCAGGACCTGCAGTCTTAGAGGACGATTGGGAGTGGCCATGAGGCGAACGGAATATACCTACTGGACACACCAGATCAAGCCTTGGAACCACCTCATGGAGTTGCTTTAGAGTCAATTGTGTCAGAGTCTGTTAACAAAATTTGGTTATGTCATTTTCGGTTTGGTCATTTGTCTTTTTCTGCTTTAAGTCATCTATTCCTAGATATGTTTAAAGAAGTGTCTTTATCTAGTCTTCATTGTGAGTCATGTGAGCTAGCAAAGCATTGTAGACATTCCTATTTAATCAGTAATAAAAGATCTCTTTCTCCTTTCCATATTGTTCACTCTGATGTGTGGGGGCCATATCACATGCCAACCATGGGGGGCTACAGGTATTTTATCCTTTTTATTGATGATTATTCTCGTTATACTTGGATTTATCTCATGAAATCCTGGGATGAAGTACCAACTATTGTGAAAAATTTTCATGAACTCATCCTCACCCAGTTTAATACTCGTATCAAAATATTCCGCTCTGACAATGCTAAGGA